GGGGGGGCGGCTCTGACGGCAGCAGCTCGTAAAGCTTAAAGAGTCCCTCACAAAAAGGGAAAAATGAGCAGATTCACCACATTTTAACATTTTAACACGGTGGGGGTGTTCCGATGGGAAAAAGCTTGCGTGCATCCACCTCCCCCTGAGGCTCAGCCCGGGCCGTAAAGCCCAAACCGGCGTCGGCCTGAACTAGAGATGTTCCCATCCAGCTTTTTTCACTTCCGATCCGATCCCGGCCAGAACATGTATTGAAGTTTAAAGTTATTTATCTACTTACTTAGTTGTCAGACTCATGTTGAACAGGGATTTACTCTGATAACAACTAGCAGCTGAATTAGGGGAGTCTGAATAACACACACTGGTTGGTAAATAGACACTGACCTGTTTATTCAGGGATAAACACAAAATTAGATAAATTATAAATAACAAACGGAAATGGCATCAGTGGACAGTAAAAAGTGCAAATAATATTGTAAACTGTATTAAAAAGGCGAAAAACACAAACAACCTGAATAGAAAATAGTCTATTAAGTCTGTTTTACATCCACCTCTTCCTCTTTTTCGTCCTTAATGATAAAATAATCCCACACAACTGACATTTTTACCGATAGCTTCAAATTAACATGGCCGTCTTAATTGTTAGGACACAGACCTGTGGGTCTGGAGATGCTAATGCTAATGCTAATGCTCGTGTGGGATCGGACTCTATCTGAAAAAACTGGATCTGGGGTCTGGATCTGCATTTTCTCCTGCCGGCCGATCGGATCCAGATATCGGATCGGGACCGGCCTAGCCTGCACATCCTCCACCAACACGCTCCCCAGCCAACCGAAACCCTCACTTCTCCCATCTGAGAATTTGAATGAACTGAAACTTATCAGGGCGTGTTCACACCCAGGTCTCCAGATCAGACTTTCGTTTTCTTGCTTTAACAACCACACCTCTGGCTGCTGCCACCAGAAAGAGAAGCCGACAGAATCCCTTCAAGCCACCATGTTTTAATATAAATACAGTGGGGAAATAAGTCTTTGACCCCTTTCTGATTTTGCAAGTTTGCCCACTTACAAAGAATGCAACGATCTATAA